TTGTGCTTTGGAAGGTTGTGCTTTGGGAGGTTGTGCTTTGGAAGGTTGTGCTTTGGGAGGTGGTGCTTTGGGAGGTTGTGTTCTGGGAGGTTGTGCTTTGGGATGTTGTGTTCTGGGAGGTGTGTTTTGGGAGGTGTCCTTTGGGAGGTTGTGCTTTGGAAGGTTGTGCTTTGGGAGGTGTGCTTTGGGAGGTTGTGTTCTGGGAGGTGTGTTTTGGGAGGTGTCCTTTGGGAGGTTGTGCTTTGGAAGGTTGTGCTTTGGGAGGTTGTGCTTTGGAAGGTTGTGCTTTGGGAGGTGGTGCTTTGGGAGGTGGTGCTTTGGGAGGTTGTGTTCTGGGAGGTTGTGCTTTGGGATGTTGTGTTCTGGGAGGTGTGTTTTGGGAGGTGTCCTTTGGGAGGTTGTGCTTTGGAAGGTTGTGCTTTGGGAGGTTGTGCTTTGGAAGGTTGTGCTTTGGGAGGTTGTGCTTTGGAAGGTTGTGCTTTGGGAGGTGGTGCTTTGGGAGGTTGTGTTCTGGGAGGTTGTGCTTTGGGATGTTGTGTTCTGGGAGGTGTGTTTTGGGAGGTGTCCTTTGGGAGGTTGTGCTTTGGAAGGTTGTGCTTTGGAAGGTTGTGCTTTGGGAGGTTGTGCTTTGGAAGGTTGTGCTTTGGAAGGTTGTGCTTTGGAAGGTTGTGTTTTGGGAGGTTTAGTCTGGCGTGCTGTGCAAACGGCTGTGGCCATGCAGGTGGTTAAAGCCTTCGGGGAGGGGAAGCTGCCCTGCACAGATTCTGGGAAGTGTCTCGCTGTCCCTTTTGTCTGTCCCACAGCTCACGGGATGGCAACACATCCTTATCCCCGCCAGAGCCCCACCACCGCTTCCAATGCATGGAAGTAAGTGGTTTTTTCCTGCTCTGCTGCTTCAGAGCAGTGCCATGGTGGCTGCTGCTCCCTCCTCCCCACAACAGGCAAAGCACGGGGGCAAAAGCTGTGTAGACAACCAGCAGGATTAATCCCTTCTGTCCAGTTTAACATGGGCGTACAACCCCAGACAACATTTGCAGTGCCCTAAAAACACAGTGCCTGCATCCAACAGCAGAGCTGAGGGAGTTAAGGGCTTCAGGCTCCCAGATAAATGCAAACGGGCGCCAGATGCACTGCAGAGGCAGCAGCGGAGCGTCGACCGCTTGCCACTAGGTCGGAAGGACCATCAGCATCCTTCGTTCCCTGCATTTCTCGGTGGCTGCGAAAAGACAGGCGGCTCTGTGAAAGCTGCGATTATTGCTGGCTCCCACCACCCCCTGCCCTCCCAGCCCCGTCACCGATTTACGGAGGTCAGGCTCTTTCCTGCCTTCTGCTTTTGATCTATAAAGCTTTGCTTGTCAGCAGTGACCCAGCCGCCTCTCTGCGCATTTCCAGCACGCCGGGCGAGCCCTTCATGAATGTCAGTTTGCATTTGGTCCTGGGCCTGTTAACCTTGACCCTCAGCCCCAGCGTGGGCTATGGCCATTAAATCCAGCTAGTCTGGGCTTTCGTCACCCCGTGGATCATTTCCATAGGGCGCTGGTGCTCGTGGCTTTCTGCTGGTGGGGATGGCTGGGGGCACGGAGGTCTGCATGGCAGCCGTGGGTCTGCTGGACAAGCCCGCCGGCACCACAAACCCACCTGAGCCCCTCTCTTCCCCCAGCACCTTCGGGTGTAGCTTTCTCCTCGCAGCCTGCGCCATGGCTAGATTTTTCTAGATGGAAAAGCTGAGCCCAGAGCTTTCACAGTGCCTTTTGGCAGCTCCCCTCGCTGAGCAGGGTGCACCTTTTTTTTCTCTCACGGCTTCCAGTGCACGTATTGCCGGGGATCCTCGGGCTGTAGCAGCCTCCTCTGGGTTTGCCAGTCCCGGCTTTGTGCCCGTCCGCATCTCTCAGCTGCAGTGTGCCAGGCTGTGCCCCGAAGGCAGGCGTGAGCAAAGCCCCAGTCCCACGCTGAGACGCTCCCAGCAGCACATGGCAAATGGCCCAGGTGTTTAGGGAGATGTTGGGTACCGTGCAGAGGATGCAGTAAAAGCGCTGACGCAGCAGGACTGCAGTGCTCCATCCTCCTGGAAACCACCTCCTTAGAGGTCAGCAACCTAAAATACCTTTGGCTGTCCTGGGTTCTGCACCTGGGCCACCAGCAGCAGCAGAAATGCTCACGTGCCTGCAAGAAAGCAGCCTGCTGATGTAAGATCAGGATATAAGAGCTTAGCCCCATGGGCGTTAGCATCTTTACTTCACTCTGCCGAGGATCCAGCTCAGATACTTCATGATAAATGGCCTTGGAGGCTGTTTCACTTGCCTTAGTCTCCTGAGAGGTTTTGGTTGCCATTAATTCTGACTGGTTCTTCCAGAGCTGCTGCTGGGATGTGTGTCTTTACGCTGCCACAATCCATCCCCGAGGGCCATTTGAGCAGCAAGAGCCTGGAAAGTTCAGTGTACGAAAAGAAAATCACCAGCAGCAGCAAGGGAAGCACCACTGTACCCTACCCTGGGCTGCATCAAGAGCAGCGTGGCCAGCGTCGAGGGAGGGGATTCTGCCCCTCTGCTCTGCTCTGGTGAGACCTCACCTGGAGCCCTGCGTCCAGCTCGGGAGCCCTCAGCACAAGGAGGACATGGACCTGTTGGAGCGGGGCCAGAGGAGGGCTACTAAAATGATCCGAGGGCTGGAGCCCCTCTGCTGTGAGGCCAGGCTGGGAGAGTTGGGGCTGTTCAGCCTGGAGAAGAGAAGGCTGCGGGGAGACCTGAGTGCGGCCGGTCAGGGCTTAAAGGGGGACGATAGGAAAGAGGGGGACAAGCTTTTTAGCAGGGCCAGCTGTGACAGGACAAGGGAGCCCAGAGAGCGGGGGGAGGCCCCATCCCTGGGACCATTCCAGGCCAGGTTGGAGGGGGCTGTGAGCAGCCTGATCTTGTTGAAGGTGTCCCTGCTCCTGGCAGGGGGGTTGGGCTGAGTGACCTCTGGGGGTCCCTTCCAACCCAAAACATTCTAGGATTCTGTGATTGTGGTCAGAGCAGAGCCAACAGCCAGGGCCACTGGGGGCCGAGTCATCTTCCCACACCAATGACCCAAGAAAACAGGGACAGCATTGCGGGGAGGTGCCGGGCAGCACGAGGCTGCCTGCACCCCCCCCGGGCGGGGGAGGGCGCCCAGCCACTTCCTAGCTAGAGCCTAGCTGCTCCCCAGCTCGCTGCATAGGCAAATGGGGTATTCTCCCTCCTGCCACACTCATCTGTTTGGTCCCTCACATGCCTCAACCCTCGCCCCTCCGGCTTATCCCCCCTCTGGTTAAACAGCCCGACTCCTGCAGTGCCTCTGCAGGCTTTGCTGGTTTTCTTGCACGTCTCCAGACCGCTTTGGGCAGGAGTTGGAGGGGAACAGGCACCCAGCTGACATCCCAGTGAGGCTTACATGGAAAGAAGGAAGACACAGTGATTGTATTATATGAGGATGGTGAAAACAAATGCAGCCAGGTTAAGAGGACTTGGTAGTGACCCTTGTGAGCCACTGATGATGTTTTCGGTCACTAACATTTGCAAAGGCTCCGGGGAGCCTGCAGAGTAAGAGAAAAGCACGGTGATGCTGAAAGCTGTTCTTGGCACAGCACCTTGCTCGTTCTTGCCTCCCAGACCACAGATGGGCATTTTCACGCTCTCGCAGCCTGCACCCAGCACCACAGCATTCAGTCATTGCTTGAGCTTTTCTTGTGCTGGTAACTCAGCTGCTCCAGTTCCCCAAATAGCTGTCATGACGCAGCTGAAGTCTAAGACCTGGGTGGGAGAGCGGACACCAAATATTATGTCAAAAGCTATCTTCACTCGCCACTGGTGGCACAGTGAGGATGGGGGCAGCTCATGTCAGCTCAGCCTGGTGGATCGGGCAGAGACAACCTGCAAATGCTCCACGGTACCGAAGGATTCGGGATGGAGTGAGAGGTTATTCAAGGCAGGTGTTTCAGCTCCAAAATGAATACCTGCAGCTAAGTGCTCCGTGCTTTTCACTCAAGCATAGGCGTGAGTGTATTTCAAGAGCTAGAGAGATCCATTAGGACACAAATAGAGGTCAGGCAGTAAGAAATTTGGAGAGGATGCCCAGTTTGCCTATTAAAAATGAACAGAGTCAAGCACTATGCATTTTCCAACGATGTTTATTTGTTTTCTGTAGCCCACTGACACAGCTGGATCTGGCAATGGAGCAGCTTCTTTTTTCCTTAAAGTGTCTACGTGACGTTAAGTCAAGGCTATCGCTGTAGTCAAAGGCATTTAGAGAGGGCAGCAGCAGAAGCAATGAGAGGTGTCGGGAGGAGGCTGTACAGCAGGGCGAGAGGGGCAGGGAGCACCTTCCCTCCCGCTGCCACAGCGGGGACAGGGTGCAGATACGCGTTTCATCTTTTTGGTTATCTGTACCAGGCAAACACAGCACCATGCAACACAAGCTGCAGCTGGAAATGGGTGGAGAGCAGGATATGGGCAGTTATTGCAGTCTGCTTTTTCGGAAGCTATGTGCCTGGGAAGCGCAGCTGCCCGTGGCGGGGAGCGCTCTGATGAGTAACCAGGCTGTCAGCAGCTGGGACACAAGCTCCCGAGTGGCATTTGCTTGCTGAAGGGAACCACAATGCTCAGGATGCATCTACTGGGCTAGACCTCTCCCTTGGAGCCAGATCCACTCTGCTGCATTTCAAATGGAGTTCGAGTATCTAAAATACCATGTAAAGAGCCACCCATCTATTTTCTTCGCAGGAGGTGGACTACCGTGGTGTCCCATCAGGTTAAGGTTCCTTCCCAGGGTGCCTTCCCTCCCAGCTCTGGCCCAGACCTGCACCTTCCATGGTGACTTGCTGTCCAGCCTAGCTGAAGGCAGCACCACCTCAAACATCATTTCTATGAGAAGATTGGAAGAATGCCTTCTCCTGATCGCACTCTGCTGCTAGCGATTCCAACCCACCGCCCACCCTCCAGCCCAGGTCCCCCGCAGCCCACCACCCCACCCTGCGTGCGCTGCGTAGCTGCACACAGGCGCAGAGGCTGAGCCAGGGGTACAGGAGGGTGGCACCCACATAGGATCACTCCCTTTTGCTTTGTTTCACCCACTCACAGACCTTCCAGCACCTGAATACTCCTCTGCCAAGTGGTTCCTTCACCCCAAGCAATCCGCACAGCAGCAGCCAACCCAGAAGTCTCCACGGTGGGGGGCGACTCGTGCACCCCAGTTTGCAGCTGGGACCTTTGCTCAGCCCTAGAGACCGAGAGAAAGGCTTTGGAAAGGCAGGCTGGCTCCTGCAGCCAGCACCATGCCCCTGTCTCAGCCAGTTACTGTACAAAATGGACAACACACACGCGTTATTTACAGCCTGTTTTTCACATGATGGAGCAGCTCTTGGCTCGGTCTTTCCTGATCTCTGTGTCATTCAGTAAGTCCGTCCTGCCAGGCATCTGTGATGCCCGCTTCAGTCCCCGTTTGGAGTTGCTGCGCTTCAAGTTCTTGTGCACCCTGTTGACCGAGGCAAGCGTGGTCACGTGAAAGACATCCCGTACGCTGTTCTCCGAGACCTTGGAGGAGCACTCTGCATAGGCCACTGCCCCGATCTGCCGTGCCAGCGCACTGCCCTGCGGTCCGGAGAGAATGGAAGGAAGAGGGAAGACGGTTAAGACATCAGCGCTCTGCAAGGAGCATCCTTTCACCTCTGCTCTGAGGCCAGGCTGGGAGAGTTGGGGCTGTTCAGCCTGGAGAAGAGAAGGCTGCGGGCAGAGCTGAGTGCGGCCGGTCAGGGCTTAAAGGGCGCCGATAGGAAAGAGGGGGACAATCTTTTTAGTAGGGCCAGCTGTGACAGGACAAGGGGTGATGGTTTTAAACTAAACCAGGGTAGGTTTAGACTGGATCTAAGGGAGAAATTCTTTACAGTGAGGGTGGTGAAACCCTGGCAGGGGTTGCCCAGAGAGGGGGTGGAGGCCCCATCCCTGGGACCATTCCAGGCCAGGTTGGAGGGGGCTGTGAGCAGCCTGATCTGGTTAAAGGTGTCCCTGCTCCTGCAGGGGGGTTGGGCTGGGTGACCTCTGGGGGTCCCTTCCCACCCAAAACATTCTAGGATTCTATGATTCACATCACTGCCAGCCCTGTCTGTGCTGGCAGCCCTACCAGAGCACCGTGGCACAGCCGGGAGCAGCGCTCCCACCATGTTTACTCATCACCTCTGTAAATAAAGCACAAGTGTCCGTGAGAGCACCAGACGTGAGGGTGGCCTCCCAAGCAGATAGTGCTACCGGGCGTCAGAACCTGAACCACTTGCGCTTTCTCATGAACACGGTGCCACCCCTGCAGTGGGGGGGCCTGGACACCCCCTCTCACCAGGACAGTCATAGAGTCATAGAATGTTTTAGGGTTGGAAGGGACCTTTAGAGGTCATCTAGTCCAACCCCCAAAATTTAATTATATAAAAAAAGAATTTTTCCAAGTGGGAGCGCAGACAGCATGGGGCATTCAGCTCCCCAGCCCTGCTCTGCACACCATGGAGCCAGGCACAGAGCAGCCCAGAGCGCAGCTGCCCTGGCACTGCACCGCAGAGACTTGGTCTCCAGGCCAGCCTGGAGACACCGCTGGGTCCGCTGGTGGCCGCAGCAGCCCCTCAGAGCCCCCAGCTGTGGCTTTTCCCCTCGCCCCGGCAGTGTTGCCCCAACAGAGGACCCAAGCAGCGGAGTCATTCGGAGCTGCACTGAACTAGGAGATGCAGAAGCACAATGCTCCCCTTCAGCCAGCCCATCTTGTCAAATCGGGCATCTCCACCACCTTTTGAGGAAAGACTTTTCAGCCACTAACCAGGAGGCTGGAAAAAACAGGAATACGTCAAGGTCTGCCAGAGCTGGGAAAAAGAGTGCTGCAAGCATGAGCAGCTCAGAATCCAGGAGCCAACATCAAGCCAGCTTCAGACCAAGACCTGGGCACAGTGGGTCCTTTGCTGCTGAGCTTCCTTGCACTAGTAGGTCCTGCAGAAAAGTCCCCCCCTCACCTCCCTGAGCCCTGCGGGGACGGCGGCAGAAACACACCTGCTCGTGCGTCACGGGGATGAGGCGCTGCTTGGAGAGCTCCCGGAGCGTGTTTAGGTCTGTCCGCATGTCCAGCTTGCAGCCAACCAGCACGATCTTCGCGTTGGGGCAGAACTCCTGAGTTTCCCCTTGCCACTGCAGAGGAGACAAGAGGGAGAAGGTGCTCAGGGAGTGCTGGTGTATGAGACGCTTCAAGAGCCCCAGCGGCACCTCCACGTCAAGTTAATTTTGGCAGCAGGCAGCCTGCGAAAGGGTCAAGGTTGGAACAACAAAGGCAATCGCAGGGCCTCAGCTTGTCGCTCCCAACCCCTTTCCAACGAGGCCAAGAGCCCCATCTGAGATCCCCCAGCCCTGGAGGGAAGGAGAGGCCAGGAGAGTTGTGCCATCAGTTCCTACCGGACAGCATCATCCCGCCAAACGCCTCCATGCCCCACCACCACAGCAGAGCCCACGAGTCTGGTCCATAGCTTCTCCTGCTCCCACCAGTAAAGAGCACTTCCCTCTCCCACAGGGAATGACGACAGCAGCAGCCCAGTGTCCCAGAACTCCTGACCAAGCTGCCCTGGCCCAGCTCATCTCTGCACAGCACCTGGGACTGGACCAGTCAGGCTACCAGGACTGCTACTGGTAGCCACCGCAACACTGCTCTTAGGTCTCCCGCCTCCGACCTGCAGTGCCTGGTGCCAGCACCGAGGCTGGGTTTGGCCCCGCTGCAGCCTGCGTGCCCAGATTTCAGGAAGAGGGCCAGGGGCACGGGCAGTGGTGGTCACCGTGGTCAGCGGGGGCTCTCAGTGAGGACACAGGCCAGGAGAGGCTCTGGAGACGGTGCTGAAGATGGGAAACACAGAGACAGCCAGCTTTCGGTGTTCTGAATACAACATGAGGCTCTAATGGGATTGGGTTTGGAAAGCAGACTTCAGAGGCCAGGACCGTGCACTCCGGTGCGTATGGCTCTTCCAAATGGGGGTCACAGCTGCTCAGAGACTGATTTAGCTCATCAGGGTGCTTTAATCACTGCCACGGGCAAGGATGGGAATGGTCGGAGTGCCTCTCGGATAACTTCATGCTCGCTTGTGCCACATACACCCTGCAGAACCTGTTAAATCTAAGCTGCAGTCCCCTGTGCTTGGCCATGGGAGATCACTCCTGGGGATGACTGTGGAGAAATAAATGACCACACAGTCTGGTGCACAGATCTGGGACTCCAAAGGTCAACCCCACTGGACCTTTTGAACCACAGTCAGCGGGGAGCTCTTTGCACAGCATACTCATTACTTGTTTATTATGTTAAAGACATTAAGACATTCAGAGCATAGCTACAGCCAGGGAAATAAAGAATTGAAGCAAGAGAAGGAGAAGGCCAGGGCAAACGTCCACTTCCTTCGCACTAACAGTCACTTTCTGAACTCCAAAATTTAATGCCCAATGTGCAGCTAAGTGTCCGCAGCAGTAAATAAAACCACCGCCTGGACCTCCCCGGGGGGAGACCTGTACAGCCCCACCAGCGTGGCAACACCCTGGCTACTCACAGGAGGCAGATGATAAACAGAGATTACCCCCCCTCACTCCCCTGGCTAAAGATGTCGCTCGGAATTAGCAATTCCCTGCTGTGCTAACTGATGGTCAAGCACATACCCTAGGCAATTAGAAGGGGAAAGAAAACCAAGCCCACAACCCACTGTCCATAACCTGGTGGGGAAAGAAAGCGCCAAGAATGACCCAAGTTCCATTCAACCAATATCAGACCAAAGAAACTGCAAAATATGGAAAAATCTTATTTTCCACCGGGAGATGGGCTCAGGTATCTTCACCACGAAGCCCCTCTCCCTGCTGCCGGGAACATTTGCCCACCAGGACTCACAGACATCCCCAGCACCCAGGCAGCCCAGCTTCTGGGAGATTCCAGCGTCAAGGGCTAACACACCCACACAAGGAGGGTGCTGCCGTTCTTTTGGAGCTGGGATTCAAGCCCCCTAATTTACCCAAAGGATGAAAATCCTCAAAGGGATTGAGCTACGGGGTCTGTTCTTACCAGGCAGAGGCCACGGCTGTCTGTAATGACGTACGGCGAGTGGTGCCACCCTCTTTGCACAGGGCTGACACCCTTAGGGACCCTAAGATTTGCTGTGCTATCAAGGCTCGTCAGAACGAAGGCACCACCCCACAAAAAACCTGCTTTGTATGAAACGAAGAGCTGCTTGTTTGCATTCCCTCAGATGGCCCCTTCCCTTCAACTGTACGCGCTGTACAGGCATCAGAAGGGCAGCAATAATAAAGATTTCCTCTGCTGAATTAGCATTTTTGCCTGAGGCTTCACTAGGGAGTGTTATTTTCCTTATTCGCCTGCTATCAAAAGCTAAAACCCATTTCAACTTCATGGTGTCTTAGGAATTTTCCTCACCTCCATAGGCTGCAAGCCTGCACCAAAGGAAACAAGGCATCTACTCAGAGGCACTTAAGAAATCCCCTGTGATTTCGGGTTTATTTTAAGTCACCGTATCAAAAAGACATTGCCTAAGAGTACTCAAAGCATCTGTGAGGCTGCGCAGGGAAGACCTTGCACCGAGCAGTGCAGACTCACACCAAGAATGCGCAGAGAAACATAAATAAATCCCAACCCCAGCTAATTATTGATGGGTTTGCATCTCATTAAGGTATAAGCGATTTGCATGCATTATTATTCTGCTGACTCCCAAGCTGGGCAGTGAATTCTTTCAGTCCTCATGCAAGACGCCTCCCTCCACCCAGCACGCTTGGTACCCAGGACCTGCTTTGGAAAGGAACACTGAGCCACTGACCGAGTTATCCGAAGGCTCTTCATGCCCTCACCAGGACACGTCTGAGGCACAGACCCACTGCTCAGCCCTCCCAGCAGCTGAGCAAGAGGCGCTTGCTTCAGCACGACGTTTGGCAAAACGTGGAGAGGCCAAGAGGGCCGTCAGGATGATGCGACTTGTTCAGACAGTGGCTGGTCCAGTCCCAGCAGCCCGGGGCTCGCTGGGGAGAACAGCTATGGGAATCGCTATTCCGTAGTGCTTTTCGTGCCTCGGTGTCTTTGAGAGCTTCACAAACCAGATGCCAAACAGGACTCTCCTCTGGGACAGGACACAGCCACCAGCGAGCTCTCTGCAGCTTTGCTGCACAGCAGTGGGAGCTCACCGAAACCACAGCTCCCTGAATTTCATGGAAGGAATCAGGGTACGGCCAGGACCAAGGGATGCGAGTGGCCAGGAAGCCATTTACCCTCTCCCCCTGAGCAGCATCCGGGGTTGCCAGATTTCGTGCCACCTCGGAGGAAAGCCTCGTGTGGGAACCTCTCCCCAGATGCCACCTACGCCCCCTGAGTGTGGCGGGCAGGGACCAGCCAGTGCTGCTCCACAGCAGATCCCCAGCCCTATGGGGCTCTCCGGGACCTGCCAGCTGGAAACATCTGCTTTGCCAAAAGGCGCTGACCTGCAGGTAGAAAACTCTCGGCTGCTAACGCAGAGCACGGCTCTGCAGGGCCCTGCATGCTATCCAGTCCAGTGGCATTGTGCCATCTCATTTTATTCATTCACGGGCTTGAAATTCAGTGCCACAGCTCATTATTCTTGTTGTCAAGCTATAGGGAACTGATTGCTGTCTTTCTTACTGTGCAGATGCTGAACGGAGGGGACAGCCAAAAAACTGACCTCTACTTGCATGGCAACAGGCACCAGGGGCCACTTCTCAACCGCTGCGAGCAATTCATGGCACACTCACGGTGGTTATGCTAACGAGGGATGCACAACACTTTCCAAGGTCTTACTAAAAAGCAGAACAAACGCCCTACATTTCTCTCTGTCCCCACATTTGGACATGTGCGTACACACAGACCCCACACGCATGCTGCAAGCCACCATGAGCCACGCCATTCTCTGGGCTCCTTTCAAATGGAAATAGCTTGCTTTCTGCACAGCCCATGGAGGGATCGGCAAGCAGGTGACCATCCTCATCTGAGCACGCAAACACCAGCCAAGGCTTGGCCAGAGGGCCAGAGCTTTTAGCCCTGAGGAGCAGGGACCCCAGGGCGGCTCCACGTGCTGCTGCAGGGGACCCATCTCACCATTCGGAAGGCTCGCCGGGCACTCACCTTCTTGAGCACACTGTCCAGGGTCTCCGGGCGGCTGATGTCGAAACAGATGAGCACAGCGTCCGAGTCCGGGTAGGCCAAAGGACGGACGTTATCATAATACGCTGAGCCTGCAGAGAGGAGCGGAAGGAGAGCAGTGAGCAGAAAACCTCATCCCACTGCTTGGTACCTAACGGGCAGACCAGAACCCCCAGCCCTCTCTGCCAGGCAGAGAGATTTTTAATTACAGTAAGAACTGGAGACCTTGCCACACGATACAAACGGCTCCGTTGGAGATAAAGGGTGTTGACCCCAGCTTTTGACCATAACCAGACACCATTAGGCTCAGCAGAGTTTGGTTTGCAGAGGACTTGGTCCCTTTGTTTAGGCGTGGAAGTCAGAGGTTTCATCCTTGTGCTCTTACATTTATCCCTTTTTGCAGAGTGGAAAGAAATGCAAGTTTTGCATCCCCCTCCCTCCCTGGGCCCCCCACTACAAGAAAGACGTTGCATTGCTGGAGCATGTCCAGAGGAGAGCCACAAAGCTGGGGAGGGGTGTGAAGCACAAGTCTTATGGGGAGCAACTGGGGACGCTGGGGGTGTTCAGCCTGGCGCAGAGGAGGCTGAGGGGAGCCCTTATCGCTCCCTACAACTGCCTGACAGGAGGGGGGAGCCGGGGGGGGGGCGGCCTTTTCTCCCTGGCAACAGGCGATGGGACGAGGGGCAATGTTCTGAAGTTGCACCAGGGCAGGTTTAGGTTGGACATTAGGAAAAATTCCTTCCCCGTCAGGGCTGTTAAGCACTGGAAGGGGCTGCCCAGGGAAGGGGCCGAGTCCCCATCCCTGGGGGGATTTAAAAGCCAGGCAGACGAGGTGCTTAGGGCCAGGGTTTAGTGGTGGGATGGCAGGGTTAGGGGAACGGTTGGGCTTGGTGATCCTAAGGGGCTTTTCCAACCTCAACAATTCTGTGATTCTACGATTCTAAGCAGCTGGCAGGTAAGAGGCGGCGGGGCTGTGCTGCCAGGGCACGCTGGCTCACTGCAGGAAAGGGAGCTTGGAAGGGCTGCGATGCTGTAGAGCAGCACATCCCTCTCTCCACCACTTGCGTTTGCATCCTATTACTTGTCATGCAGTTGCTGTAGCACTAACGGTGGAAAGGTGCGGCTCAGAGAAGGCAGGGAATGCTGCTGCTATTTTTTATCCTCTCGGTATCTTTATACAGGGGAGCTTGCTCACACAGACTGTGAGAATTTAAGACAGGTGAAAAAAGAATTGCCTTTTGGTCGGGATTTGTGCTGGGAAAAGTCAGACAGATTTTTTTTTGGTACCTAAAAGATGTGACAGGATTGGGTGAACAAGCTCTAAATTGGAAGGGATGATTCTGCATTCTGCAGGATTTCTCAGTGAGCAGGCAGAGAGCCCAGCCTGGATCCTGCACCCCGTCTGCAGCGCACACACGTGCATGCACATGCACACACACCTTCGATGCAAATGTCAGGCATTAAAGTCATCATCCCACAATGTTTTTATTTGAAGGGCATTCTGTGTGTGATTGTAGATGCCTCAGCAAACAGTAACGGAGCAATCGGCTCATCACTACTTAAAAACGGTTTTATATTTGGCTTTACAATGGCTTAAACTTCCTGGAGGGATGAGAAGCAGATGTTTATTTATGAAAAGGGGAAGCAGAGACACCAGAGTCCTTGTTGAATCTGCCTCCTCGGAAAGAAGGATCGCCCACCCCGAGGCCACAGAAACCGGACGCGCTTCCTGCGCGCCCCTTGGGACACCCGGACCCGGCACTTTCCCACCCTGGGAGGAGGGTGGAGCACCCAGCCCGGGTGTCAGGTGGCTTCTTGATGAAGTTCAGCACCTGATGAATTATGGATGATGGTGCCTTATGTTTCCGGGAGGATGGGAATCTGCCTGGGATAAGGATGAGAGGAGAATAGGCTGATTCTCCGCAGGGGCTCCAATCCTGGCTCTTGTCTGCATGGGAGCTCACGGATGATCTACAGCTCAGAGTGGGGTACAGCCCCTCCAGCACAGCTCTGTACACCGGGTGCTTTGCAAACACCCCAGATCCCTCTGCAAGACTCAGCCAGGGGAGCAGACCCGACCGCGGCTGCTCCTTCCTCTGTCCCGAGCCCACACGGGGCAGGCTGAGGGCTGAGATTTGTCGTCTTCCAAAAAAGCCTGCCCACCACCAGCGACTGGCCACCCATTCTCCCCCTGACACCAGCTCACAGCAAGATACTAACGGCAGCCACCACCGGGCACGCTCCAGCCCGCGCAGCCCCCACCGCTCTCGTGGACCCCAGGGCAGGCATCCTGGGATTCGATGCACGTTTGGATTTGCAACAAAAACTGGCTACAGGTATCTCCAGCAAGAGATATCTCGCTGTTGCCAGCCTGCAGGAGCAACGGCACCTGCACCCCCTGCTCCCATCAGCGAGAGAAGCCACAGCCCGGATCTCCGTCCCCGCAAAGTCACCGGGAGGGGAGGCAGCTGGGATCCAGCACGGAAGAAACAGACCCTGATCTCTGCAGAGCCCAGCCCTCTTCCTAGAGGGAAAGTCATGTTCCCTGCATGGAAAGGAGCCAGTCCCTGCGGCACCTCGGCAGCTCTGGGGGCAGGGGATGCGGGCGGGTGCGCAAGGCAGCAGAGCGGGTGACCCCGTGTCCCCGGTGTGGACGTTTCTGACCTTGCTTCGGGCTCAAGCTGCTTCAGTTCTCGACTGGCAGAGCTGGCCCCAGCGAACTGCTCCCTCCCATGCTCCCGCAGCACAGCAAGGTGACCCAGTTCCCACTGGAGAACGCGGCCGCTTTCAAAGGCGGCACCAAGCTCAGCAGCGCCGAGCTCCCCTTTGGACTGAGTTTTCAGTCTTGTGCCTGGTGCAGGTTTACCTGATGGGATGTGAGATCCAGCACTGATCTGCACGCTTGGATTTGCCGGCTCCTTTATCGGAGCCGTGCCCTCTCCCCCATGCACGTAAGGGCATCTGCCTCCAGACAGGGGCCCCCAGCACAGGCTGGAGGAAAGCGTTCCCACACGCATCCTCTCCCTGCAGCTCCTCAGCTTTACATAAACACTGCAGATAAATCTGCCCCCTCCCAGCCCAGGAATGCTCCTTTTGTAGAGGTGGTTTTGGCTCCATTCAGCACAGACATTGCCACAGCAAACTGTATCATAGCAACCCGCTGCTCCCCTCCGCAGCTCCTCGCTGGAGAGCCTGCACGCAGCGGAGCGCGGGCCCTCGGTTATCCCGCATCCCGCAGAGCCCCCGCCATCTCCACCCCGGTGCCAGGAACAGAGCTCTCACTGCCCAAGACTACGGGAGGAAAGACCCCTGTGCTGGCGGGAGGAGGCGAGGGAAGGGATGCACGAAGTCAAGAGCCTCATTTTCCTAATGCGAGCAAAATTGCCTTCGTATTCATTAACTTTCTGCTCCTAAGCCCAAAGCACCGGAGCAGCGCCTGGCACCTTCGCCGGCAGTTTGGCTCACCGGCAGCCTCGGCTGCAGAATCCTCTGCCCCAACCCAGGAGACTCCGATGGTCAGGAGAGCTGCTGTGCCCCAAGCTCAGTAACCTCCAGCTTTCTCTGGAGATGTCCCTACTGCATCAGGAAATCCTGTTGGGGGGATGATTCTCCTACTTTTTGCACCTATTATTTTTTCATCGAGTACGACAATTAAAAAATACCCCCCAAACACAAAAGCCTCAGTTCCCTCGGCTCCAAGCCTTCAGTTTTATTGATTCTGAGCCCTCGACACCTTTCAGATATTCCAGCAAGGCACCCCAGGGACCCACAGTCTGGCACTCCCGAACACACAGGCGCCCAAGGCTTGCGCGGCTGCGGATCCAGGCTCCCTTTGCTGCGTGAGTCACTCTCCCACTTGGCACCCAGGTTTGCGAGAAACAGGACCTATGTGCATCTGTTCATGATTAAAGAGAGAAAAGTGGAGCAAGCCAAAAACCAGCTTAAAAATAAAATCCAGGCGGTTGTTGTCTGAAATTCAGGGGCGGATACAGCCATGAGTAGCTCCTTTTTCTTATCAGCTGGCAACCCCTCGAAATGCCTGGCACGGTGACTTAGAGACACCGCTCTCAGGCAGGGGGACTGAAATGTGCTGTTTCATCTATACCAACAGAGTGTTCATCTTCATTTGTTCCTTATTAGCTGTTCTGAGAGATAATGAGCCGCCTCACATGGGCACCCTCCATCCAACAATAGCACATTACAAACCAGGGAAGCAAATACGCCTGCAGAGCCATGATCTGCTCTGCAAGGGGCTCCCGCAGCCCCAGCCAGCTCTGGCTTGAAACAGAGACGAGCGCTGCCAAGACCGAAATTTTTCAGCATCGCACTTGTCTCGGAGGGCTCACTGTAAATTCTCCCCCTCGAGCCAGCAGCGCTGCGGCACATGCTGCTTTCGGCAGGGACAGCCAAGAACATCCTTCACAGAATGAAGCAGAAATTCATCCCAGCTTTCTGGAGTGCTGCATCGACAAACCCGAAGAGCTTCGGGTTACCTCCCCGCGCAGCCGTGCCAGACGAGCAGCGGCCTTTAGAGACTACAGAGGACGTTTTCTTTGCTAGCCAAATCCCACCGCCAGTTCAGCCAAGCCTTTGTCCGCAGGACAAAGCTGTCAAAGCAGGACCAAGGTGCAGCTGTCTCAGCATCCTCTCCCCATGCATGGCAAGAAGCCTGCACCACGTCTCAGCCAGCACCAGACACGAGGACACTATCCCCTCCGCTGCCGGGGGTCCCAATCGCCGAGCTTCACCAGCCGCGCGGCCCTCCAGCACTCCCCAAGACGGGGCTCAGACCCTTCAGAGCTGCTGGGAACCAGCACACGTGCTCAGTGTTTCCTGAGGTTAAGCAGGGCTTTCTGGAGCTGAATTCCCAGCTCCAAGCGGCCTTTTGTTGCAAAGATATTTAGCTGAGCGACTGCTTCCTAGAGGCAAAGGCCCTGTGTGCAGAGGCATGGCTCCGAGCCCCTTCTCACCTCCCCAGGCCCGGCAGGGATTCTGCTGCAGCAGAGGTCTGGCGTGGGAGCAGGACGCTCACGTGGGAGCAGGACGCTCACGTCACCGCATGCTTTCCCCACATTGAGTGCTCCAGACCTGGTTAAAATTCCATGTGGTGCCAGCAAATGCAGCGGCTGTCATGATTAGCCATTCCTTTGCCAGGGCAGATGATGATGAAGGTGTTAATAATTATTATTATTATTATTATTATATATTTTATTTAAATCACACCTGTATGACTGAAAATGAAAACTCGACAATGCACAGGCGTGCTGGGCAGCAAACAACCCACCCAGCTGCTCCTGGACCGGACTGCAGCCCTGCAGAAAGCTGCTGCTGGGGAAGGGGGCTGCAAGAGCCCAGGCAGCTCCTGGCCGGGCCAGCTGGGTGCCCCCCACCCAGCACCCCCAGCGTATGGCTTTGAAGGGGCTCTCCCAGTTCAGGCAGCCATTTGCATAAGAAAGGCACACACCCCCATTACAGCCCGGCTATTGTCTCCTCCCAGGGCCCGCCAAGGGGAAAGCATAAAAATGCTGGATTGAAAACCTGGCTGTGAATGAAAGGCCAGAAGTGGCAGCTGTCCCAGACACCCCGGCACAGAGAGGCGAGGCCAGTCCCCATGGTGAGCCCACAAAAATCCCGGCTGGTTTTCTGAGCCATCCAGGACGCTCCAGAGCTGCCATTTCCTCTGCAGATGCAACAAGAGGGCACGGAGTCACCCTAAAATATTTCCCACTGCTAGAAAAGGGGAAATCAGCCCCGAGAAACAATGGCAGAGTTTATGGCAGAAGGGGAAGAGGAATTCAGCCTCAGGGAACACTGGAGAGCAGCAGTTAAACAACCCCAAAGGTCATGCCCAGTCCCTTTATCCTACTGGGGACAGACTACCAGAGAAATTTTTCTTCTGCGGTCCTTTTTACTCGACTTCATCCAACCATACAACAACAGCCCAGCCAGCGCCTGTGGGAACGGGCAGGTCAGGGACCCGGCATGGGAGCCCCCCGACTGAGCGCACAACGGGCTCAGATCTCCGTCGGTGGGGATGCAGCCACCCGTGCTGACAACGTCACCCATGTCCCCTGGCAGCCACCATGCCCACGGCCACCTCCACCTCCTGCATGGCCCGGACACGGCTCCAGCCGCAGTCTCCCCAGGCTTTCTGCAGGTGCCTCCTGCTTGCAAGACATCTCCTCCTGCAAGTTGTCCCATTGGAGCCCAGGAGCTGGGCTTCCCAGCACCCAAGAACAGGCATCTCTGGAGCATCTCCCCTATGATGGGGGGTTGGACTAGATGACCTCTAGGGGTCCCTTCCAACCCAAAACATTCTATGATTCTATGAGGAAAGGCTGAGAGAGTTGGGCTTGTTCAGCCTGGAGAAGAGAAGGCTGAGAGGGGACCTCATCAACATGTACAAATATCTTAAGGGTGGAGTCACGAGGACAGAGCCAGACTCTTCTCAGTGGTGCCCAGCGACAGGACAAGGGGCAATGGGCACAAACTGAAACATAAGAGGTTCCAGTTGAATATGAGGAAAAACTTCTTTACTTTGAGGGTGCCTGAGCCCTGGCCCAGGCTGCCCAGGGAGGTTGTGGAGTCTCCTTCTCTGGAGATATTCAAAGCCCGCCTGGATGAAGTCCTATGTAACATGCTCTAGGGAATCTGCTTTAGCAGGGGGGGTTGGACTGGGTGATCTCCCAAGGTCCCTTCCAACCCTTGCCATTCTGTGATTCTGTCTCCACAATAAAGGGCTTCTTGGAGACGATCTCTCACTTAGGAGGAACCGCAAGCGTGGCAAACTCTGCAGACACAGGTCCCTGCCTTTAAGATTTTAGTTGCCTTTATAAAGGCAGAAGGCAATGTTTGAAGAGCAGCAGCTCGGGGTGCCTGGCATACATCAGACCAGAATATGCAAATGCCCTCCTCATTCCCTGTGTGATTAGTGCTGATGGGCTTTATGGACAGGAGACCAGGGAATGAGCCATTGCAGCCTCCCAGCCGGTGATAGCTGCACATCGGGGAGACGAGGATCTGAACCATCTCCCGTTCAGAGACCGACTTCATCCTCCCAGTGTGAAACCAGACCCTCTCTCCTGAAAGAAAAATCAGAGGATTTTTTTGTTTGTTTGAAGAGTGATAAACTGCAGCGATATTCCTGAGCACCCTGCAGGTTCCCGCTCAGCTGGAGCTTAGAGACAGGTTAAGGATCCCTGCCCCTGCCTGGCTGATTATTGTCTGGAAGGGGAGGATAATGCAGATCCCACTGGTACAAAAAACATGTTTCTGACACTAATATAGTGCTCATTAGAGTCCAGCCCAGAAAAGTGACAAGTGGCAGAGACAGGAATTAAAGCACTGGTGACAGACTCAGAGACACTGGTAATGACGGGCTCTGGCAGTACCACAGTCCAAAGCCCAGACCTGAGAATTCTGGGGTCACAGTTACAAAAAAAGCAGCAATTAGCGACATTAGAGATTAAAGTGAGCGGCCCCAAGAGCAAAGCAGACCTGGTGAAATAGTCAGAGCCACCATCGCGCCAAGTCCCACTCCGCAGCGAAGACCCGGCCATCCGCATGTGAAACGCCAGGCTGATGAACGCCTACCAAGGTGCCCCGTGCTGCTGGGGGTGCCCTGGCTCTGCCCACAGCAACACCAGCGCCAGGCAGAGCTGGCTGCGGTCCCTCTCCGAGGCCATCTCCACCACAGCCCAAGGGGCAGAGCTTTTACCAGCGCATCCCCTGCGCCTGCTCACGGAAAACCCTCCGACGACGGATCGGAGATCCCGCCATCCTTACAGGTAAGGCCTTTTACCCAAGTGGTTTTACCAAGGTTTTACCCCAGTGAAAGTCACAGTTTGTTCTTCAGAAGTTAGGGTATGACAGAGCCTCGCGATGGGGAGGGCCCCAGCTCTCCAACCCCGACGGGCAGCAAGGTCAGGGTCAGATTGAAATGACACAAAGCCCTGCTGGCCAGAAAGAGGGAAAACCAAGGAGAGATGAGGCACCCGCCAAAGCTGGAAGGAGACAGAAAGCAGCACAGGGAACTGCTGGCCACCACCCCTAGCCCAGCCTTCCGAGGGACACAGAACATAGCATGGCCATCAGCCCTGGACTTTTACAAGCTTCTCTTGTGGCTGAACCACGACATTTCTCTTGCTTGTGCAACATCGCTGCAAACCCCTGAAGTGTAGGAAAGGAGGAAACAGCTCCACGACATGGAACAAGCAATTGTCTGGAAAGCGTATGGCTGAAACAACAGCTACTCAGCTCCAACAATTAACCTCTGCTCCTAAACCCTGGTATCCATACAGGCTGGGGGAAGAAAGGATGGAGAGCAGCCCTGCCGAGAGGGACTTGGGGTACTGGTGGACGAAAAGCTGGACATGAGCCAGCCGTGGGCGCTGGCAGCCCCGAAGCCAACCCTGCCCTGGGCTGCCACCAGGGCAGGGCCAGAGGAGGGCTACTAAAATGATCCGAGGGCTGGAGCCCCTCTGCTATGAGGCCAGGCTGGGAGAGTTGGGGCTGTTCAGCCTGGAGAAGAGAAGGCTGCGGGCAGAGCTGAGTGCGGCCGGTCAGGGCTTCAAGGGGGACGATAGGAAAGATGGGGAAAAATCTTTTTAGTAGGGACAGTTGTGACAGGGCAAGGGGTGATGGTTTTAAACTGAAGCACGGTAGGTTTAGGCTGGATCTAAGGAAGAAATTCTTTCCAGTGAGGGTGGTGAAACCCTGGCAGGGGTTGCCCAGAGAAGGGGTGGAGGCCCCATCCCTGGGACCATTCCAGGCCAGGTTGGACAGGGCTGTGAGCAGCCTGATCTGGTTAGTGGTGTCCCTGCTCCTGCAGGGGGGTTGGGCTGGGTGACCTCTAGGGGTCCCTTCCAACCCAAAACATTCTAGGATTCTAATTCTCACAATCTGTGTACAAAAAGGAGTAAATTCCTGAAGAGCCCAGCTGGCATACCTTCAGGACGGACATGGTGAGGATGAAGGGAATGGTATTTGCACGAGCCAAGGTGGCATTTCTGGGTCTCTCTCCAGATCTTATTACTGGAAACCTGTTGCTCCGGAGGAGGCTGTTCTGCTGGATTTACCGGCAGAGGAATGCCCAGCTCAGGCAGGCACTGGGTGCTTCTGCCTTACCCAGATCCTGTGCCCTGTCTCACATCCACAGCTCACAGAGGCGCAGGGGAGCTTGCTCAGATGCAAACCTCAGACTAGCAATTGGGAGGCAGCTCTGGAAGCTCCTTGTAGAAGTCTGGCATCTCCGGGGGAGCATCACTGAGTGTCTGGGGTGGGAGGGCTGGGGCTGAGTAGCTCATCCAGGCTTCTCACAAGCACACTGGAAATCCCGCCTGTGGCAGCTGACAAGGGAGACAAACGGGAGGCAGAAGTCCCTTCCTGGCACTCCTGCCATGTCACAAGGGCGGTTGGCATTGCCACAACCTGCCTGTCATCCTTTCTATGGGGTGCAACAAGGACTAGGAGTGGCAACAGATTCCCACAGCCCAGCCAGCGCACGCTCCGGCTCTGGGGAACATGTCCAAGGGCTGAACGAACACAATTATCTTTATGCAATGCTGCACATTTCAGGTTTGCTGTACGTAAGCAGCAGGTCCCTCCCTGACTGCTCGGCTACCAGATAAGATTTCTCCCCACAGGGAAGGCTGGGCCTGAACACTTGTGAAGAAGTTTAATCGAGTGGAGATTTTATCTTCAGAATCTGGTGCGAAAGGAAAGCTGCATCCCTGTCCTCACCGCACGCACAGGGGCCCGGGGTGCATGCCAACCAGCTGCTTTGCAGCTCTCCCTCCCACAAAGCCTCCCGCCGTCCCCCATCAGCCGCCCCACGCTAGCGCTGTTGGCTGGGGCGAGGGGGGCATCCTTGGCACCGCGCTGGGCGAGGGCTATTAGAGGGGCAAGCTGTCACAGGCAGAGGACGGGGCATTGCCGCCCTGCTCCAGGGAGCTTCTGCAGGTCTGTTTATGTGACTGCCTCGATAAGGAGCTTCTGCTTGCCCTAAACACAGGTTAAAGCAGCATTAAAGCAGCATCGGGAGGTGCCATGGGTGCCACAGAGCAGCCAGGCTGACAGAAGAAATGGGGAGAGCAGAGCGGCGCTGTCCTTGCCCACGGGAGAGAGCGGATCACCTCCGTGCTGCGGGAAAGGAGTCTGCATCAAACTGGGAACAAATCTGCCCGACAGAAAGCCTTTCCTTGCCTACAAGGTGGCAGCAGCCAGCAGGGTCGGCTGGTTGTCCCTAATGGCACCTGTCCTACTCAGCACCCCCCCGTGACTCCCAGGGCACCCCACAGCCCCGCAGAGGCTGAGCCTCCGGGATCTGTCGGGGAGAAGGGACGGGCGCTGCTGCAGGGCACGCTGCCCTTGCTGCAGGGGGGTACAGGAGAAGCAGCCTCCATCCCTGAGCCACACAGCATCGCAGCACCCCCACGCCATGCCCAGCCCAGCGAGAAGATCCTCCCGGGGACTGTCATGTCACGGCGTGTCATGTCACGTCACATCATGTCACGTCTTCCCAGGTCCCTCCGCCACCCACTCCAGCGCAAGCGTTTCTGCTGCAACTCTTCAAACTTCTGTCTGACTGGTTACTGACCTGCCTGAGAATGTGACCCAGCTGCACATATTTTTAGGCTTAACTACGTATTTGTGCTGAGGCAGAACACAAGTATGCTGGTTTCAGGCTCCCAGCCTCAACAAGGGAGCATGGGAGGAGCTATTTTGGTATGGAAAGGGCAGCTCCGCATTTTTTCTCTGCCTCAGAGTGCAAGTGGCATTGAACTCTTCCCAAGACAGAACTTGCTCTTGCACTTTGGAAGAGGCAGCCATGGCAATCCCAGAGCCACACGCTGGGAATCCAGGCACAGACAGCCTCAGCATCCATGGAGATGCCATCGCTTAACTCGGCCCCTTTCAGCTCTCTAATCTCATCAACATTCCTCGGTAGTTCCCCCAAAGAAGGGTCTGTTATCGCAGCCTGTAGGTTCCCACACAGGCCATACCAAGGCAGACTGTTTGCCGAGTACATGCAAAGAGGGAGGCGGAGGGGGATTTGCAACTCACAGTGTTATTCTTGTCTTGAAAGCACATCTGCTTAAGAGCCGAAGCCCCGGCGAAGGACTGGCAGCCGTGCAACTCCCCTGTTGTGAGCTGTGGCACAGAGGGGGGCAAAGTGGCACCGCTGAACCCATGGGCACTGAGCTTCACCATGTCGCAGGTTGTGGTAGACGCTGTGGCTCTCAGCAGCAGTGCATCCTGCTGGTCCACAAAGGACACAGAAGTCCCCTCCAGCAGCTTTCCGAATCAGCAACGCTCATGTGCAAGGCGCAGTGCCAGGCCTGGGCCTCTCCCAGAGCCACTGGCACAGATGCCCCTACCAGAAACAGGGCAGCTCCCCTCTGCCCCGGGATCTGCGGCAGCAACCGATGCTGCAAGCAGATAAACGGCCTCAGGTCAGATCGCTGCTCTGCCTGCCTGCACTTTGAGGCCACAGACACAGAAGGGAGGCAGAGCATCCCAGCATAAAGGGGTGTGAGCCAAAAGCAAAGAACTGAGCCCAGGCTGCCATGCATAGAGTAGCTTCCACCCCATTAGTATTGGAAACGAAACCAAAACCCCACCTAGGTACAGGGCAACGCCTCAGACCTGCCAGCGGCGATGCTGTAGCACCCTGGCCTTGCCGAGGCGTCGGGCAGCAGCGTTGCCCGAGCCCATCTCTCCGACCCTGCTGGTACCCAGCACCGGGGAAGGGGCTCTGCGGGGCCACCAGTGCGGCGGGTGGGGCGAGCGGGGGTGTTGGGCCAGCCCGGAGTCATGGGCAGCGGGTCCGCTGGCAACACCCAAGCCACCACAAGAATGCGCCGAGAGCCGGTTCCTGGGAAGGAGGTCAGACAGCGCCGGACACTCTGGCCACCAGAGATCTGCTGAGCACTGCAGCGGCTCCGCTCCAGGCATGAGACCTCCCAGCGCAGGACAGACCCACGGACACTCCCTGATCCCACAGGGAACACAGCTGCCGCATTGCCAAGGAAAACCTACCTGCCCGGTGCATACCTAGTGGTAATTGCACTCCCTTTCACACCTCTGAAGCATGGAAATGAAACTCGCCTACTCTTTGCAAAGCGTTGCTAGTGATCACAAAACCATCCGCCCTTCCTCCACCCGGCCGCGAGGAAGACAGCTCTTCCTGGCGGGTCTGGGGCACCGGCGCTGCAGGTCTGGGAGGCACCCAGCCCTTTGGGAACAGCACTCGCAAGCCAGCAGGCATCCCGTCAAACAGGAGTTTCCCCCCCCCACAAGACACCGACGCCATGCAGAGGAGCTGTTTCCATGCCGAGTGCATTCGGCCAACAGGCAGCAAAGAAAGAATTTGCCAGAACGGGAGCACGAAGAGCAGCAAAGCGCCGTGTCCCCCGTAAGGCTCACGAGCAGTGGTGCCAGGGCACTGCAGCTCCCTGGAGCCAAAACCCCGTTCGCCCCGTATGGCAGGCACGCTCCGCACCCCTTTCCCACACACACAAAGATGTCAAACAGCTTTTTAACGGAGGCTTTAGAGACCGGCAGTAGCATGGGCTTTCAGGGGGACAGGAGGGATGGGGCACCCCTGCCATGCTGTAAAGTGGCACCTGAAGCAATTTCGCTCCCACGGGGTGCCCCGAGGTGGGACTAACTTAAACAGGAACAAAACGTGGAACGCAACCAGCACCTGCAGATGATGGACAAGGGGTCAAGCTTAAACTTGGTTCACTTTTCTCCCTGGTAGGTTCCTAGATCTAAGA